GACTGACAAAAAATATATACTTAAGCTTGTTATAGATAAACAAAATTCTCGAAAATATTGCCTTAGAAATGCTTGCATAAAGGTTTTCCTTCAGTGATTTTTTAAAAGAATATTGTAGTTAACATACAAAATAAAAATATATGTTTTCCAACGTAATTACAAAAGTTTGTTTAAAGCTTACAAACAGTGCAAAAAATAATCAATCTAATGGCAATAATTTTAATCTCGTATACCACTTAATTTTCACACACAACATTTGGCAAGAAAGTTTTACGCACGTTGTCGCAAATCAAAATATTCCTTATTCAAAAAATAAAAATCCCGTTCGACTGAAACACGTGTAAGAATAGAATACAGGTCACACATTTGCTCTTGGCACAACGATGTAAGCATAGTATATAAAAGGAAATATATATATATTTAATGAAAATAAGTTGGCTAGCATCCTGCAACCTTTAATTTTTCAGATCTTTTTTATGATTGAAAAAAATAGCGAAGATCGGTTATGAAAACATATAATTAGTAAATCTTTGTATCACCATAATTTTGTTTAATAAACTAATTAAAGCTAAATTGACAGCTGCCTGTATGGTCTGGGATTCATAGTAGGCCTTTTGTTGGTCAGGTGAAGAGGCGAGAGAGAGAGAGAGAGAGAGGAGAGAGAGAGAGAGAGAGAGAGAGAGAGAGAGAGAGAGAGAGAGAGAGAGAGAGAGAGAGAGAGAGAGAGAGAGAGAGAGAGAGAGAGAGAGAGAGTTTGATGACATTTAATGAAAAAGGTGAAAACAAATGTGTCTTTATATTTATCCTGATTTAGTCAATTAGGCGCGATTGTGGAAAATACAGCTTCAAATACGTTTTTTTTCCATAAACTTTATACTAGCCGTTGTTCCCGTCAAGAGAAGGACAAATATTATTAGATAAATCCTCAGGGTTAGACTTTCTGACCTTTATCAAGTGACCTAAAGATTGTGTATGTGTACGAGTGTGTGTATGTGTGTGCGTGCGTGCGTGTGTGTGTGTGTGTGTGTGTGTGTGTGTGTGTGTGTGTGTGTGTGTGTGTGTGTGTGTGTGTGTGTGGTGTGTGTGCGAGTGTGTGTATTTGTGTGTGCGTGTGTGTGTGTGTGTGTGCGAGCGTGTGTGCGTGTGTATGTATGTATATGTATGTGTGTGTATGTGTGCGAGCGTGTGTGTGTGCGTATGTGTGCGAGCGCGTGTGTATGTATGTATGTATGTATGTGTGTGTGTGTGTGTGTGTTGAATTTATACAGCCATGGGCGTTTCTGTGACTGTCATATGAAACGGAGAACCTTCCTCTATAGGGCGACTGTTTAAGGCACATCGTTGTGAAACTTACCATTTATATAGGCTGTGTTGCGGGCTTCCCTTTCTATGAAAAATTGAAGCATAAGAAGCGATATATATATATATATATATATATATATTATATATATATATATATATATATATAGACACATATATATATACATACATTATATATATATATATATATATATATATATATATATATAGAGAGAGAGAGAGAGAGAGAGAGAGAGAGAGGGAGAGGGCGAGAGAGAGAGAGAGAAGAGAGAGAGAAAGAGAGAGAGAGAGAAGAGAGAGAGAGAGAGAGAGAGAGAGAGAGAGAGAGAGAGAGAGAGAGAGAGAGAGAGAGAGAGAGAGAGAGAGAGAGAGAGGAGAGAGAGAGAGAAAGAGAGAGGGAGAGAAGAGAGAGAGAAGAGAGAGAGAGAGAAAGGATAAATGGTTAAAAACCGTTACAAAGAGAAAACACGAGAGGACATCAGCTAATCTAACTTACATTTCATCTTTCCCATATACACATATTGCTATAATTCACTTACACAATGATATACCATCTAGTAATTAAATATACGCTATTCCGTTTGTTCAAAACACGACAGCTTACGATACATAAAATATATCACAAATTTCCCAGAAAATCTCTTGTGTGTGTGTGTGTGTGTTTGTGTGTGAGTGTGTGTGTGTGTGTGTGTGTGTGTGTGTGTGTGTGTGTGTGTGTGTGTGTGTGTGTGTGTGTGTGTGTGTGTGTGTGTGTGTGTGCGGCGCGCGCGCATTCTGATTGTTTATTTCTGAACAAAAAATATATATACTTATATATCTGTGCCCCTAAAATTCTCTGATTGTGTAATCACCATGTTCTCCCGACAATACATGATAATGATAATAATAGTAATAATAATAATAATAATAATAATAATAATAATAATAATAATAATAATAATAAACATATAAAACCATACGTAAAAACTGACTCTAACGATGATTAATTTTCCTTAACCTAATCATGTACTTCGATCTCACAACCAGTTCTCCCGCTTCTCGCCAATTTTCCTTTCCCACTTTTTTTCTTCCTTCCTTCGCACTTTCTTCTATAGTTAGTACTTCAAAAGTTCTGCAGGGTACATCGGATGGGTGGGTGGTACAAGTGGCTGTACCATGGTTTCTTCTTTCAAACTTTGGTACAGAGCTACGGGGCACATCCACCAGTACACGTGAATTACTGTGGGTGAAAAAAAAGTTTATGTTTAGTTTTAATATAACTGTGAAGAGTTAGAACAGAAAAAAGAAAGAGAGAAAAAAAAACACAGGAAAATTGACAGAGAAGAAATGTGTGATAGAGAGAATTATCACCAGAGAGAGAGAGAGAGAGAGAGAGAGAGAGAGAGAGAGAGAGAGAGAGAGAGAGAGAGAGAGAGAGAGAGAGAGAGAGAGAGAGAGAGAAACACGGGAAAATTGTTAGCGTATAGCATGGAAATTTCATCTGCTGTCAATATGTAGCATGACGGTATGGTAGGCAGTATGCGAAAAATAAGCATACTGTGCAAAAGTCACATAATATTGCTTTGGATGGTGAAGATCCTAGCTCCACAAATACCAAAATTCCCAAGGTAAAAAATCACAAATTGACAACGCCACAAACAAGAACAACACCACGAACAATACCTCCACAAATAACTCATTCCAAAGGTTTAAAAAAGAACTCCATTTAAAGGCTCAACTACAGGCCAGTGCGCTCACCAAACGCCAAGATACAAAGAAGTCCTGAGATAATGTACGCTCCGCCCTGGGACAAAGTGGGGTCGTCTTTGCCATACATGAAGAGGGCGATGATGGAGGCGGCCTGGGCTGCCAGGGGGACGAACTCCAACACGAGCCAAGGGAGAAGCAACACCCTGATACTCTGTGGAAGAATGGGGTCTGTGTCATGTAGGTTAGGTTAGGTCAATTCTAGGATAATGTTGAGGGAAAGAAGATTGTCACAAGAGCAGATATTTTTATGATTTGCGCTTGAACGAGAGATAAAAAAAGGTTTGATAAAAATAATAAAGAAAAAGAAAAAAAATAGGTTAGCATGGGATAAACAATAATAATGTGTGAGAATGGAATAGAAAGTAAGAATAAGTGAGCATGGGATAGAAAGTAAGAATAAGTGAGCAAGGGATAGAAAGTGAAAAATAGGTAAGCATGGAATAGAAAATAAGAATTGGTAAACAAAGAATAAAAATAGGAATGGATGAGCATGGAATAAAAGACAAAAATGGAGAACATGGAATACAAATCAGAATGGATGAGCATGGAAAAAAAGATAAATGGAATACAAAATCAGAATGGATGGGCATGGAATAGAGAACAAGAATGGGTGGGCATGTGTCATTTACTCACCGTACATGATCCATACGTCATAAAAAGCGAAGCAAAGGTGTAGATACCATAGTAGACGAGTCCAACTATGAAGATGGTCTGAACATCTGCCAAGAGAGACGAAACGTAATCAAAGTCAGGTCTTTTTAACCAACAGTTTAGCATTCATACAACACGCTAAACTAGTGTACATTTCCTTAAAATACAAAATAAACCCTCAATATATACATCCAACGTAACAAAAAAAAAAAAATAATAATAATAATAATAAAAATAAAATAAATAAATCAATAAAAATAAAAATCTACAGGGGGTCCTCGGTTTACGACGGTCTCGACTTACGACGTTTCGTGGATACGACGCAAGAAATTATGTACTGTATTTACAGTTTGTTTTCCATGTGTTCCTTTAGCCCTAGATATGTTTTCATGTACGGTCTAAAAGTGTTTATGTTTTAGATTATGACTTTGATACATGTATACATTCTGCATTAGCATATGTAAGTGACTTTGGTGCTTTTGAGAACGTACGTGCATGTAGGCTACTGTATTCAGATGTGTTCCGACTTACGTCAAAATTCGGGTTACGACACCATCGTAGGAACGGATCTCCGTCGTAAGTCGAGGACCCCCCTGTATTCGTGTCACGGAATAAACAATAAAATCTTACGATCAACAATAGTCTCCAGTCCAATGACATCCTCAAGCACTTTCAGTCTATCTTGCGTGACATTGGCCGTGACACTTCCTTGGTAGTTCATGACATTGACTTTCAGCTGGTGTTGCACTTCCTCTATGTTGATGAGTCCGAAGCAGAACCCGACGGAGGCACAGAAGGACACCACCTGCGGTAGGAAGGGAGTGAAAGAATTAAGGTAAATAAATGGGGTTTCATGAAAGCAGGTGTGATAATGAGGATAAAATATGTGAAATATAAATGATATACTTTATACGACACGATACTTGTGGGGGGAAAAATGCAACTTTTGTGGTACACTAATCAAAATACGTATTTAAAATAACTGAAATTTCACACCGCCAACACGGTGTGAAATTTCAAATCCAGAGGCGGTTGAGTTTTGAACGAATAAGAAGAAGAAGAAAAAAAAAACAAACTGAGAATAAACAATATAAAACAAGAATACGAGGATAACGAAGACAAAGAGTAGCAGAGACTTCCCTCCACCCTTAATACTCACCAAACTGATAGTACCAATTAAAATGCTGCCGACTTTCGTGGAAAAACAACAACAGCATGACGTCATCACCGGCATCTTTGTGGTTTTGAAAATACTTTACTTTTCTTGGTGAAAAAAAACT